GGACATCACGGCACTAAGTACTATACTTAACAACATTAGTGGAAAGCCAATGTGCATATCCTAGAAGAATAAGAGCAAATATATCATTAGCTGTCAGTTTTCCTGTTAATAGTCCAGTGGTTATAGCTGTTTGTGCATAAAATATGGACATGTCCTCACCTCCACATACCGCATGTGTACATTTAGATTTTTAACGTGTTACTGAACAGAATAAACTCCTCATGTCTTAGAGCAATGAAAAAGTGTGTCAAGTTAGGGGTACAGTAAAGGTGCAGGCAATAGAAACTCCTCAAATGATAATGAATAAAGAGATAACTTTCTTTTTTTTTTTTAGATGGAGTCTCTTTTTTTTTAGATGGAGCCTCCACCTCCTGGGTTCAAGTGATTCTCCTGCCTCAGCCTCCTGAGTAGCTGGGACTACAGGCATGTGCCACCACACCCGGCTAATTTTGTATTTTTAGTAGAGACCGGGTTTCACTGTGTTGGCCAGACTGGTCTCGAACTCCTGACCTCAGGTGATCACCCGCCTCGGCCTCTCCAAGTGCTGGGATTACAGGCGCAAGCCACCACACCCAGCCAAGAAGGGACTTTTCTGATTCATGGTCTGAAACCTTGTGGCAGGCAGGGGTCGAGCTGGCCCAGGAGTGTGACTGAAGCCAGCTCTCTCACGCTGTCTTTCTGTTTGCTTTCTCTGTGCTTCCTTCTCTGTATTGGCTTTGTCTGTATTGCGTCAGATATGGAAGCAGACTGTTCTGTAGTTCAGCTGAGCAACCTTGAAAGAAAGAGAATATTAGCATGCCAGCCAGTTAGAAAGTCCCGGAGATTACACTTCACTTAGGAAGACAGAAAGGCTTCTTGTACTTTGTGGTTTCTATTTTACAATCCCTGTCTTGGTTCTTGGTCTGTTTGAGTTGCTGTGACAAAATATCTTAGACTGGGTAATTTATAAACAACAGAAATGTATTGCTGACAGTTCTGGAGTCTGAGAAGTCCAAGAATAAGGCACCAGTAGATTTCACATCTGTGGCAAGCTCAATCAGTGCTTCAAAGATGTTGCCTTCTCACGGTGTCCTCACATGGTGGAAGGAGCAAATGACCTCCCTCAGGCCTCTCTATAAGGGCACTAATCCCATTCACAAGGGCTTCACCCTCATACCTCGTCAACTCCCAAAGTCCCCACCTTTTAATACCATCACATTAGGGGTTTAGGATTTCAACATATGAATTTTGGAGAGACACAAACATTCAGACCATAGCAAAACCCCACCGCCCCCAACCTAAAAAAAAAAAGCCAGGAAGATTAGCTCTCTTCTAAAACGTCAAGGGAACTCACATGTGAACAGATTTACATAGCAAGCCAAATCAATTTTATTTAATGCATAAATAGATGGCACTGTATATGAAAAAGTGCTTGTCTTCACACCACAGGGAATAAAAGAATGTGTTATTCAAGCCAAAGCATTGGAAACAAATGATTTTGCTATTAAAACTAAAAATGGATATCAATTAATTTGATTTTCCTCCAACTGCAAATATTAAGACATTAAAGAGATTTTATTTATCTTCCACTCTAACCCTACCTGCTTCTAGCTCTGTGCCACCGCACCCTGGACCACTATTTGAATACATTTTATTTTCGAAAACATGCAAGGCCTTTTACATTACAAATAATTTTCACAACTTGCCTGCCAAAATAGGATTAATCTCTTGGCCTCCTTTGTCCACAAAATAAGCCCTATATATAAAACGATATTCTAAGCTGTTTTCAGTGTAGTCAAGGATTAGAGTCAGAAGCGATCACTGTCCCCAGAAAATGAACAGTGCTGAGATTGGTGAAAGCGAGAGCTCCTGATGTTGACTTTTTTTTTTTTGAGATGGACTTTCACTCTTGTCCAGGCTGGAGTGCAATGCCGCGATCTTGGCTTACCGCAACCTCTGCCTCCCAGGTTCAAGCGATTCTCCTGCCTCAGCCTCCTGAGTAGCTGGGATTACAGGCGTGTGCCAGCATGCCCAGATAATTTTGTACTTTTAGTAGAGATGGGGTTTCATCATGTTGGTCAGGCTGGTCTCAAACTCCCGACCTCAGGTGATCCACCTGCCTTGGCCTGCCAAAGTGCTGGGATTATAGGCCTTAGCCACGGCACCCAGCCTGACTTTTATGTAAGACAAGAAATGGAGTATCTTCACTACTCCATTTCTCCATCTGCAGTAACTGCAGAGCCAGTAGCCAGGCATCAGAAAGACTGTTTTAAGCAACACCTCCCAGTGGTTTGGGTTATGATCTCTTCTGGGACCTTTATGAAGTTTATAGGAAATGCATAAATGTTGAAATCATTATAGAAATGTAGAGATAAAAGATAACTATGGATCATTTCACTTTCAATGATATCACTAATTGCTGTGTTTTTCTAGCAGTCTTTTAAATTTTTTTGTATCTTAGCCCAAAAACTTACTGTTAAACCATTAGCTATTTTTCATAAGCACTGTTTACAGGACCTACAGATAATTATTTAAAAACTTTAAATAATTAAACCAAGTTGAAAACAGAATGGAAACATAAGTCTCAAAGTCTTTTTGTTTTTCTTTTCAAAAATTAAGGTGATACAATTGAAAAACTAGCAGACACTGAACACTAGAACCATCATATAATTGGCGATCTTTCTGTGGCCTAATTTTAATTGACAAATAATTGCACATATTTATGGGTAATATTCAATAAACATATATACCATGGGATGAACCAGAGTAATCGACATACTCATCACCTCAAATATTTATCCTTTTTGTGACAAGAACATTTAAAATCCTCTCTTTGAGCTACTTTGAAATATGAAATACATCATAATCAACAATAGTGACTTGCTGTCCAATAGAACACTGAGGCTTATTCCTTCTATCTAACTTTGTGCCCATTGACTAAGATCGTTATCTTCCCCACCCCTATCCCCGCTTCTGGTAACTGTCACTCTGTTGTCTACTTATATGACTTTGGCTTATTTATATTCCACATATAAGTGTAATCCTATAATAAAGACCTCTCTGCCTAGCTTATGTAACTAAATATAATGTCCTCTAGGTTCATCCATGTTATTGCAAATGACAGAATTTCTTGTTCTATAAAGGCAGAATAGTGTCCCATTTCATATATATAGCACATAATTTTTACAAAATCAACCTCTACTGTTATTTCAGCATTCAGCAGGTTGTGTTATTTAATCATGTTCAAATATGGCTAGTATCAGTCTGGGCCATTTCCATTCCTTCAGTGTAAATTAAATCACTTTATATTCCAGACCCTGTGCTTGTTACGCTTTTCTGTTCATGGTACTTACCACGTTGTTAGTCATGTGTTGATTGGTGCGATTGCCTGTGTGACTTCTTTCCCTTCCACTGGGTTGTGAGTTCCAGTGGAGAAAGAAGCACATTTGTTTTGTTTATTTGTATTTTCCTAATGCTTACTACTATAACCAGCATATAGTAAGTGTTCAATAAATGTTGAATGAATGAATGAGTGAAAAAATGGATGAAATAAAAGAGCTGATTTAAGCCATTAAGCTCTGTCCTGTTCAGAGTAAATTCAAAGCATGTGAGCAACTCCTTGTGTTGAAATGGATGGCCATTTGCTGCCTCCTGTTTTTTGCATTATAAAATAAATAAATAAATAAATAAGAAGTGGATGTCCTCAGTGATGAGAATTGGGTTCCAAGGGTCTGGGGCTAGGGCAAGTGAAGGGCATCAAAGAGACCTACACAAGATACTCTAAGAATAGACAATCCCAACGATTAAACCCGAGTGCAAATCCATTTAAGAAAGGATAAGAACAGCAAACAAACAAACACAAAGGACAGAGCAGGTGAGACGCAAGGGCAAGACCGATTCCAAAAGGTGCAGATACAGGGTCGAGAGGCACTGTTAAGTGGACATAAAGTACTAGTGAAAACAGATCAGGAACAAAAATACGTTGAATTTAGAGATACTGGCAAGCTTGGTGACCGGCCTGAAAATTGGCATCATTAGGCATCTGGATCTAACCTCGTCTAATTTCAAACTGTCTTGCAAACCTTATCTGGTAACTAATTTTGTGGAGTTCATGCAGTTTTCTTATGCCCTCATCCTTCTTGCTCATGTCCAAAAAAAAGTGATCAATAACACACATTAAATTCCTTATTTTAAAAGAATAATACTTTGACATTCAAGAAAGAATAATTTGGCCTCTTCCTTGAGTTGACATGTGAGATGTTACTATTTGTAACACTCTGAGTTACAAATAGCTTTTTATCCCTTTAGTCACCAGATCTTTATTTATACTTACTAAGCAATGGGCTGTTCTCAAAAACGAGTCTTCCTAAGTAGTACGTCTGACCTTTTGACAAGTTCATAAAAAAGTACAAGGGAATTCCAAAGATGCCTGAAGCCTCTGGGGTCACTGATGTTTACAAAGGCGCCCAATGGCAAGGCCAGTATTGTGAAGGAAATAACTCACTGTTGATATGGAGCGTAGGAAAACCCTGATGTCTTCCATTGCACCTCTGGAAATCAAATCAGCAATAGAATTCTTGACTTGTCATTCTCCTCAGTACTCCCATTTAATTCCTATGTAAAAAAAAATCAAGTTATTTTTCAGTCTTTTGGGTTTCGATTCTATTTTATATCCACCTCTATATTTTCTTAAATCAATGCTTATGAAATGGTAATGTTGACATTCTCCAACTTAGTATTCCCAGCCTGCTCTCAGATTTTATCACACTTCCCCTGTTATCTACATATAATCAAGTGTTCTGTCAAAGTTAATAATCTAACTACATATCTTTTCAGAGCTGTACTTGTATTTTATATGCATATGATATTTATCATAGCAATGCTTTTGAATTTTGATAAGAAGCTTAATCAACTAATTTTTGAGTGACCTGACTAAATTTATAATACAGTTACTTTTTAGAAAGTCTGTGACTATAAATGGTATTTTGTCCTAAAATGTTTATTTTTTTATTTTAATATAGTCTGTCTATGGTTTACAAAACGATATTAGAAGCCACAGTCCTACCCACACACCCACACCAGAAACTAAACCTCCAACAGAAGATGAGTTACAGCAACAGGTGAGTCAACCTATGAGATGACCTGTTAAAGGTTTGCAGAGTAATAGCTGTGAAGGCCAGACAGTCAATGTGAACAGTGGGTATTTTTAAGGTTATTTGTATGATTGACTGTTTCATATGAAAGATTTGCAGTTAAAAAATAATAAAATTTTCTAATTTTAAGAATTATAATTACTTGAAAATGAATCAACACATAGTGATAGTTTTCAGAACCCCTCTCTCTTTATTTACCCAAATCCTTTTTCCACTAGCCAACTGTAAAAATAATATGCTGATTTGTAGATGACCCCATCATCAGTAGTTATTTTGTACTCCAGGACTCTGTTTTAAAGTGTAAGAGGACAAGAGGTTGAGAACATTGAGTGCCACATTTCCCATATCCAATGATATGACACTTTCTTCACGTGAGTGCTTATTTTTGCTTTCTGCAGTGCTGATTCTCTCTGCCTCTTGAAGTCTTTTCTTACCAACACTGATGTACAGTCATGGAGTCATGGTATACACTACTTTTTTTAAGCGTTTGAGCAATAGTGTTGGCTCCAAGTAATATTTCAAAGCAAACTCCAGTGTCTCAAATCAAATAATAGTTTCAGTCTCTTGATTAGTTCAGTCATGGGGCTTTATTCTCATTTTGACTCCTTTCCCCTAATATTTTATTATAATATGATTATTCAAGAGTGTAATATATACTTTTCTAGTATATTTATAATAATCGGAGGAATCGTCATTCAGAGAGTTTTTTATTAAGGTTTTCTGTGTGTGATTATTCCATGTGAGTATTTGTCATGAATTGCTGATAAAATTATTCTCAAAACACATATCATTGATGCTTTCTTGGTATTAGGAGATAGAATTTATTTTGAAATTATAGTAACAAATACATTTATTTTCTAAATTTGGAGGGAAGTATGATTCTGGATTTAGTAATAACTAATCCAGAACGAATGTTTAAATAAATACCATGAACGTTTATTTAAAATCTCTACAATTTTATTTTTTATTTTTTTGAGGCATTCTTTCTCTACCACCCAGGCTGGAGTGCAGTGATATGATCTTGGCTCACTGCAACCTCTGCTTCAAGGGCCCAAGTGATCCTTCTGCCTCGGCCGCCAAAGTAGCTGGGACTACAGTAGCTGTACCACTACACCTGGCTAATTTTTCTATATTTTTTTTCAGATGGGGTCTCACTATGTTGACCAGGCTGGTCTCGAATTCCTGGCCTCAAGCGATTCACCCACCTCGACCTCCCAAAGTGCTGGGATGACAGGCGTGAGCCACTGCGCCCAGCAAAATCTCTACAATTTTAAAATAAAATCACATTTTGTTAAAGTAGGCAGAACGGTCAAACTCACTGCTGTTCTAAAGTGGTATCAATTGTGTTCACATTCAGACATGTCATTCTGTTAACTCTCTACGAGCCCTCTCCTTTTTCAAAACCAGCTTTGAAATTGTACTGACCTAGAATATACTCTCGTTCCGAATTGCCCAGTCTATCATGATTTAGAGTGGAAAATTGTGAAAATGTCACTACTTACGTATCTACTTCTCTAACCCTCTTTTCAGATAAAATACTGGCAAATACAGTTAGATAGACATCGGTTAAAAATGTCAAAAGTCGCTGACAGGTGAGTATTTCAAGGTGTCTATATAAATTTTAAAATTTTGCATGACAATTAAAAGTGTTTAAAAATGAAAGAGAACTGTTGCGACAGGAGTGGAGACAAATAATTGAAATCATGTAAGTAAATGTGATTCTGTTTTCCTTTCTGCACATAGAAAACTTTCAAAGAACTCTTTTTGTATAGTTTAAATGACAGGATGATTATAATTGTGTTAAATGCCCAGACATCTAATCCTTGTGCAACCAAGAATCAGATAGAGAGGATGATTCTGCAGTCTAGCCTTTTCACTCCTGCTGGGAGACATGAAACTTTCCATTTATTCGTTACATTTTGGGATCTTGGAGCCTCTCTGTAAACTTACTTTCACACTAATGATGACCCTTACTGCCTGACTTCAGAATATGAATGAAACTCGAATTTTAGATATTTTCCTTTTCTTCATGGACATCTGTTCTTAATGGCATTCATATTCGTCACTTTTGGGCACTGCCAAATCCTCCCTCTCCAACTTCTTTCCCTTCTCCCTTTTTAAAATTTGTATATACATTATTTTTTTTTTGAGACGGAGTTTTGCTCTTGTTATCCAGTCTGGAGTGCAATGGCACGATCTCGGTTCACCATAACCTCCGGCTCCTGGGTTCAGGCAATTCTCCTGCCTCAGCCTCCTGAGTAGCTGGGATTACAGGCACGTGCCACCATGCCCAGCTAATTTTTTGTGTGTTTTTAGTAGACACGGGGTTTCACCATGTTGACCAGGATGGTCTCGATCTCTTGATCTCGTGATCCACCCGCCTCGGCCTCCCAAAGTGCTGGGATTACAGGCTTGAGCCACCGCGCCCAGCCTGTGTATACATTTAAAAAATGTATCAGTTGTTCTCACTTTGCATAATTCCTGTAAATACTTTTGACAAAATTTCCCTTTAAAGCCCTTCTCTAAGTTGGCTAAAATCTGTTCTGCTGTGGGTGGACTGATAACCAAAGACGGGAACTAACTGTTGGCACTGCCCTTCACACACTGACCTCTTCCATAGTGCTTCGTGTTAACCAAGGGATGTTGATTTCTACGGCCTAGGCCTGGGGAGGGATGGAATCTTTAGCCACATTTGTCTACCAGGTAGCACAATAAGTTGTTACATCCAAGTTATTGAAATGTGAAGATTGCCATTGGATTTCATTCTCTAAGCGAGCAAGGATTTTTGGGCCCACATTTTTGTATTGTTTCCTTTGCTTTGGATTGGCTGCAACCCCAGTCAGAAAACTAAAGAGCGTGGAAATGTCTTTTTCTCCCTAGTCTACTAAGTTACACGGAACAGTATTTAGAATACGACCCGTTTCTTTTGCCACCTGACCCTTCTAACCCATGGCTGTCTGATGATACCACTTTCTGGGAGCTTGAAGCAAGGTAGGTGGCATTTTATCTTTCTTGCACACATGTTGCTTTATTTCAGGGTCTTAGTGAAATGGGAAATGTTTTATTGTTGGCTAATTGTGAATGTAATTTTGTTCTTGGTCTACATTGGCCCATATCTAACATTCTTATTCAAGATAATGGCTCTTGAACCTTAGACATTTGCATTAAGATTTGCATTGCTGGAAAGACCGTCCCAAAATTGAGGTGCAAGAGTTTCAGGATGCGTTAGTCAGAGTTAGGATTTTCAGTTCTTGAAATTTGGTTCATTGCTGTTATCTTCCTGTAAAATCCACATAGCCATAAAGACTCATGTATTCAAGTAAAATGAATGCTAAAGCCATACATACTTAAGCCCAACACAAGTATGTGTTTATAAATTCAATTTCAAAACAAATGGGCTTGCCAGAAACACTGTAAGAGAAACTGGGATGACACTTACTTCCTAAGAAAAGCAAAGTACCACTGAGGACTCCCTAGTTTTTTTCGTGAGCTATATAGGGGAAGAATTACATCATTAGTCTTAACAGGGTCATGAAAATATCATGGCATATCACTTTGCAAAGAGAAGATTAGTACTCTTACACTTCTAGCAGTTCTCGAGATTGCATTTCTGGACTATCTCTTTCTTTTGCATTGACATGAATCTTAAACACTGGACATGCCCAGAACTCTTCATCCACAAGTTAAAGATTTTATAGATGAGAAAGCTGGAACCCCAAAATGTGACTCCGCTAGGATTAGGTCACATATTTAGTTGATACCAGAATCATAAACGAGTATTGAGACTTTTGGTTACCAATGCATTTTTCCTGGCACAACATACCTTTCTGACACTGTGTGGTATAGCGGTTAAGCAATGTGGGATCACACACCTGTAATCCCCACACTCTGGCAGGCTGAGGAGGGTGCATCACCTGACACCAGAAGTTCGAGACTAGCCTGGCCAATGTGATAAAATCTCATCTCTATTAAAAATATAAAAAGTGGCTGGGTATGGTAGCAGGTACCTGTAATTCCAGCTATTTGGGAGGGAGGCCGAGGTAGGAGAATTGCTTGAACCCTGGAGGCAGAGGTTGCAGTGAATCGAGATCATGCCATTGCACTCTAGTCTGGGTGACAAGAGTGAAAGTCCATCTCAAATAAAAAGAAAGAGAGAGAGAGAGTGCACACTGGGGTCAGAACATCTGGATCTTTGCCCCTTATTACTTGCCTGACATTGGCAAGTGATAACTCTGTGCCTCTCTTTCCTCATCTATAAAATAATAAGATTAATAATGCCTATCTTATAAAGTGATTAGCAAAAACTAAAAGAGAATTTATGTAAAGCACTTAGCATATAATGCTCAATAAATGTTAGACTTTATTGGCTGGGCGAAGTGGCTCACACCTGTAATCCAGCACTTTGGGAGGCCGGGGTGGGCAGATCATGAGGTCAGGAGTTTGAGACCAGTCTGGCCCACATAGTGAAACCCTGTCTCTGCTAAAAATATAAAAAATTAGCTGCGTGTGGTGGTGTGTGCCTGTAATCCCAGCTGCTCTGGAGGCTGAAGCAGGAGAATTACGTAAACCTGGGAGGTGAAGGTTGCAGTGAACCAAGATTGCGCCATTGCCCTCCAGCCTGGACAACAGTGCGAGACTCCATCTCCACACACACACACACACACACACACACATAAACAGAACCAAAGACAAAAACCACGTGATTATCTCAATAGATGCAGAGAAGGCCTTTGACAAAATTCAACAGCCTTTATGCTAAAAACTCTCAATAAACTAGGTATCGATGGAATGCAAAAGCTATTTACGACAAACCAACAGCCAATATCATACTGAATGAGCAAACACTGGAAGCATTCCCTTTGAGATCTGGCACTAGACAAGGATGCCCTCTCTTACCACTCCTATTCAATATAGTATTGGAAGTTCTAGCCAGAGCAATCAGGCAAGAAAAAGAAATAAAGCATATTCAATTAGGAAAGGAGGACGTCAAATTGTCTCTATTTGCAGACGACATGATTGTATATTTAGAAGACCCCATTTTATCAGCCCAAAATCTCATTAAACTGATAAGCAACTTCAGCAAAGTCTCAGGATATAAAATCAATGTGCAAAAATCACAAGCATTCGTCTACACCGATAACAGACTTAAAGAGAGCCAAATCAAGAACAAACTGCCATTCACAATTGCTACAAAGAGAATAAAATACCTAGGAATACAACTAACAAGGAACATAAGGGACCTCTTCAAGGAGAGCTACAAACCACTGCTCAAGGAAATAAGAGGACATAAACAGATGGAGAAACATTCCATGCTCATGGTTAGGAAGATCAAGTTACGAAAAGGGCCATACTTCCCGAAGTAATTTATGGATTCAGTGCTATCCCCATCAAGCTACCTAGGACCCTCTTCACAGAACTGGAAAAAACCACCTTAAACTTCATATTTTAAGGGGAATGTAATAACAAAAAAATGGGAATTCTAATGAAACGAATGTATTTGCCTTTGTTTTATCTTCTATAGCAAAGAACCGAGCCAACAGAGGGTAAAACGATGGGGTTTTGGCATGGACGAGGCATTGAAAGACCCAGTTGGGAGAGAACAGTTCCTTAAATTTCTAGAGTCAGAATTCAGCTCAGAAAATTTAAGGTAAGACACATTGCTTGGATCGTATACGCCAGGGAAATACTGTCTGTGATGTGTCTGATTATTTTGTAGGTAATAGCTCGATTCTTCTTCTACCAACATAATGATGTTATGAACCCACTGAATTTCTGTCACCTAATGAAGGGGAAAAAGATGAGCAAGGCAAAGGCTGCCCAGCATATCCATTTCTTATAACTTATTTTTACACTGTCTCTGTGTCTCCAGAGGTTTTCACTATACAAATTTGGTGACTTTGAAATGGACTCTATAAAGAAATGCAGTACAGAGAACCATGTTTGGCAAAGTGGAGACTGGCCAGTAACATGAAGTTCCATTAAAATGTCACCTCTTTGTCAGTGTTGCTTATCTCTGTATATCGCTTCTCAAGCAAGTTAGAGAAGAGACTGGGCAGCTATATCAAATAACTTGAAACCAAACTATTGGGCTGTCTCGTTCTCTTTGCACATTTAAATAATAGCCACAGGGCAATTGAGAGCAGCACAGCATTGAGCTGTGCGTGAGACAGGGACAGCCATTCTGCCCATCTGTTGTAAACATCATCCTTACATATTTTTTAAATTAGCTAACATAAGGAGGATCTGAAAATTGCATTTTTAAATATAAGACATTAGAGTGGATTTTAATAGCTCGATAACTTTCCACTATGTAAGACTGTTTTCCTGTGAGCTCTTTCATTCATCACTCTTTTGAAACCTGATGCCCAATTTTTCCTTTTCCACGACTTACGCAGTCCTGTAAACTTCATTTGCTGAAAGGTCTCAGCATTCATTTATTTTCATTGGAACTAGGTAGTGCCAGGCGTTGTCACATTCTTTTTAGGAGATTCCACAGGTAGCAATCCCAAACCATTCAGAAAGATGTATGCTGACACCTGTCACATGGATGGAGCAAGATGATGGCAGACAGAACCTGGAGGGGTTTAACTCTCCGTGTGTGCCTAGCATGGATTGCTGGCATGCAGCTTCCTATTTTCCTTCCAATTTATGGGAACCCTTCCTACCTGGGCTTTTGCAAGATCTTGCTGCTAAAGTTGCTAAAGTTCTTTATTGAGCCTACTAATAACGTTTTCTATATTGAGGTCACATTGTCAGGTGCAAGAATGCATTAATAGGCTAGGCGTGGGGGCTCACACCTGTGATCCCAGCACTTTGGGAGCCGAGGCAGGTGGATCTCTTGAGGCCAGGAATTTGAGATCAGCCTGGTCAACGTGGCAAACTCCATCTCTACAAGAAATGAAAACAAAAATTAACTGGGCTTGGTGGCACACACCTGTAGTCACAGCTACTGGGGAGGCTGAGGAATGAGAATCACTTAAACCCAGGAAGTAGAGGTTGCAGTGAGCTGAGATTACACCACTGCATTCCAGCCTGGGCAACAGAGCAAGACTGTCTCAATAAATAAATAAATGAATGAATAAATAATGCATTAAAAATAAAGCAGAAATAAAGAATACTTTAGGCATTTTAGTGGCTGGGGAGATGGATTTTCTTCTCATGCTCTAAGTTTTTGAAAATATGCTGATATCATTTGTATCATGATGAGTAAATAAACAAGTAATAAGCATTACCAGCCTCACCTAGCCAAATAAAAGCATCTCTTTCTCTCATTAAAATTACAGTCAATTGGTGAATACAGACAAGAAAACAAATCATATTGCAAAATCATGGGTGTTTAGGTGGGAGAAGCACAGAGGATGCCTAATCCAGAGTTAGAGATCAGCAGAGAGATACTAAGAGAAATCGCTTCTAGGCTGAGAGCTGCACAATGGGGAGGAGATAAATGGGCAAAACAGGGAGACAGAAGATGCTTTTAGAAAAAGAATAGCATGTGGATTCTAGGTTTCAAGCATGAATTGAATTACTGCCAATTTCTAGTTCAAGCTTTAATCGTTTATCTTAATCATTCAGTGCTGTACTATCTTATGTATATACACGCATTATATATACACACACATAATATATACATATATATTTTAGTATCTAATGTGTGCCTATCATGTTTCCTTAGGAAGTATAGACAGGTAGATAAACGAAAGATGTAGATTGGATTAATTCTTGAATACCTACAAGACATCAGAATATATTTTCTATTTACTACTTTTAAGTATGCTCTGTTATATTTTGCATTCATTATTTCTGATCATCACACATGTAACCACCAAAACAAACACGAAATGTGAACAGTGCCTCATTTTTTAGATGAGAAAAGTATGGCTGAGAAAGGGTAAGCTGAGAAAGTGTGGCCAAGGAGGTCAGATTGCATGTAAGTGGCATTCTTGGTTTTCTTCAAACCAGTACCAAACTGCTGTCCCCTGCTCCCCAAATCTGAGCCCTACTCTGCTTTGTGTCACACACTGAAGGAGGCAAAACGGTCCAGTGGTCAACAGGGTTGTTAATAGCACTTAAAATAAAATAACTTTCTGTGCAGCAAGAGTGTGTCACTCATCTGAGCATTTCTTTCAAATGCTTCTTGATAACTACTTATGCTTCAGATAAACCCTCTGCTCTTTGAAATTCTAAAATGTATTTCAACATTCATTTTTTTCAGGCAAAACATATAGCATAGAGCAAGTGCTAAGAAAATGTAGTAATATGAGTTTTTATCTTTGAATGCCTAAAAATATGCCAGGTACTTTTCAGTGCCTTCTATATAATTTATATCATTAGTTTAAGTTAATGGAATTAATTTAATCAACGAATTCAATGGAAACCAATTAATCCAATGGAAACCCAGTGAAATAAGCACTATCATCCCATTTTACTGATGAGGTAATCAAGAATCAAAGACATTAAAAATAGTTTCTTAGGTTCCAGCTAGCATGAAATAAAGGATATGGGATTTTTTTTAAAGAGAGATGGGATCTACACTACACACTGGGGTCTATTGGGGGGAATAGGGGAGGGACAGCGTGGAGGGGGGGAGCTAGGGAGGGATAGCCTGGGGAGAAATGCCAAATGTGGGCAAAGGGGAGGAAGGCAGCAAAACACACTGCCATGTGTGTACCTATGCAAATATCTTGCATGTTCTGCACATGTACCCCAAAACCTAAAATGCAATATAAAAAAAAGAGAGAGATGGGATCTTTGATACCCAGGCTGCAGTTCAGTGGCACTGTCATATCTCACTGATCCTCCCACCTCAGCCTCCTGAGTAGCTAGGACCACAGGTGCATGCCACTGCACCCAGCTCCTCCATTCCATTAAGCTATTACAATAATTACAGTAATGGTGACAATAAGAAAGACAGTGATGATGGCAGCTGTGAGCCTGTCCTCTGTTGCCGATTTTCTGGGGGCAAACCTCAGCTGTGACACTAATAGTGAACAAACTTAAATAAGCAGCTTAATCTTCATATGCTCAGTCTCCTCTTCTCTAAATGAGGGAAATAATAGAACTTGCTTTATAGAGTTACTGTGGGAATTAAATGAGTTAATAGAGGTGGATCACTTAGAGCAGCTCCTGCACCTACGTAGCAGTGTAGGTGTGGTTATTAACCTACAACCCTTGTTTGTTTTATGCTTATTTCCAGGCCCATTTCAGATGTCACTGGATTTATTATAGCTTTTTCTAGATCCCCTTTTCCGGTCCAGCACTTGCCCCAGCAGAGAGGCTTTTTTCCCACTTGGCATTCCCTGACTGTCTAGTTTGTTCTCTTCCTAGAGAGTCATTCATGTGCTTCCTAGTATTATGGTCATTTAAATAATTTATCTCTTTTGGGGGTTGTTGGGGATGGAGTCTCTCTCTGTCACCAGGGTGGAGTGCAGTAGCGCGATCTTGGCTCACTGCAACCTCTGTCTCCTGAGTTCAAGCGATTCTCCTGCCTCAGTCTCCTGAGTACCTGGGATTACAGGTGTGCACCATCACGCCCAGCTAATTTTTTTTTTTTTTTTGTATTTTTAGTAGAGTTGGGGTTTCACCATGTTGGCCAGGATGATCGATCTCTTGACCTCCGCCCACCTCATCCTCTCAAAGTGCTGGGATTACAGGCGTTCGCCACTGTGCCTGGCCTAAACGGTTTATCTTTACTCATTCTTTGGAGACAGAGAGTGTCTTGATTTATGTGTTCAAAGTGTGCTGGAATGAACTTGACTGAGCATTTATTAATTTCAACATTCCTGCTCCCTTGGATTACAAATAGGATTCCTATTAGAGTGCACAGTGTCTAAATCTGTGGGGTTTTTCTTTTTTTCATTTTGTTTTGTTTGAGACAGAGTCTCGCTCTGTTGCCAGGTGCCAGGCTGGAGTGCAATGGCACAATCTCGGCTCACTGCAACCTCCGCCTCCTGGGTTCAAGCAATTCTCCTGCCTCAGCCTCCCGAGTAGCTGGGATTACAGGCACGCACCACCACACCCAGCTAATTTTTGTATTTTTAGTAGAGATGGGGTTTCACCATGTTGGCCAGGATGGTCTCGATCTCTTGACCTGGTGATTCGCCTGCCTCGGCCTCCCAAAGTGCTGAGATTACAGGCTTGAGCCACCGCGCCCGGCCTAAATCTGTGTTTTAAGAGGGAATGGTCTTGAGCCTTCCTTTCTAAAAGTCGTGGTGTTCGTTTCCTGTTTAAGGCATTGTCCAAGTTAGATCACCCTCTGTTACACACATCTGTAAGAAAACAAAATCTGGAAATGAAAACTCAGATATCACTAGACTGAGTGGTAGTCGATATTCTCATTTTAACTCATGTGCTTTGTTACTGGTTTCTGATTATTTATTAATGCTCAATTTAAAGCTTAGTAGCTGCGAAAGTACTGCTGATTACCTGTGCCTCTCTTAAGACTCTGGAGCCTGAAGTTTGCTGTCTCTGTGGCTGTCTTCCTTCACTATTAGAGCAATAAGTGTTGACGGAGGATAACAAGTCCTAGCAGTTCCTTTTTCACATATGGTGTTTGTTTCTATTAACAAATTATTATATACCCATTTATCTTTTAAAGTGTTTCTGGAGATCTAACCAGTAAGCTCTATCCTAGAGCAAAACACTGAAGAAATGTAACCCGTTAATACAGTGTGGTCCCTTCTCACTAGACTTTGCCACTTGCTATTCTCAACCAAAACACACTCCCAGGTTTTTTCAGTTTACATATGCTATCAATAAGTTTATGTTCGGAAGTAAGTCCGTATATATTATTCAGTGGCTTCTGAATTGCAATGATGCCTCTACACATTTAAACTCTTCCAGTAATTACATGTGAAAGCCTGCTGCTTCTGTCATTCCATACCTCTCTCAATTAAATTAGCTTGACATTAATTAATCACTTTTGTTTTCCCAGCCAGGGCATTTTCTGATCTATGTCCAGGTCTCTTTTAACTCCAGCAAAGCTTCTTTGTAACTCCCTTACCAGCTAGAACGGAAAAGCCTCTCCATATTAGCCCTCATTGCTCAAATGAACAGAAAATCCAAAAAACACAATGTAACGCAAGCTTTATCTCCCGATTGGATGCCCGTGTCCCCGCACCTTTAATGCCCTTCAGACGCCTCCTCATTTCCAGCAAACAGTTGGCAGTGCCACTTTCCTTAGGTAAAATTAAAGTTATGCAGGGCTCTGGCAGATCTGCTTTTAACAACAAACACTTAGAAGAGATCATCTTTAATAATTCCTTCAAAAGAAAATTATACCTTTGAATACAACTACTGGGAGAAAATAAGTGAGTACCACCTGATACTCGAAGCCCTCAGAGAAAGTGAGTTTGCTGGGAGTCATTATGATGAACTGCATGATCCGTAAATGTCACAAGAATTTTCAGATCATGGGCCGTCAGAGTAAACACCTGATCTCACATTTTGCATAGATTCTGGCTGGCAGTAGAGGACCTGAAAAAAAGGCCTATTAAAGAAGTGCCCTCAAGAGTTCAGGAAATATGGCAAGAATTTCTGGCTCCCGGAGCCCCCAGTGCCATTAACTTGGATTCAAAGAGTTATGACAAAACCACACAGAACGTGAAGGAACCTGGACGATACACGTTTGAAGATGCTCAGGTGGGTGCATGGTGGGCCTCACATCACAAACGTGCTTCTGAGAAGTTGATAGTTGGATATATTCATTTTATTTTCATTATAAATGGCAGCTGTTTCTAAGATTTTCAATTTAGGTAACTGTGAAATAACTCTCACTGATCTAGGAAGGAACAAGGACACATTAAACTGAATAGTTTTTTAAAGCCTGGGAATATTTTCTTTTTTTGAGACAGAGTCTCACTCTGTCACCAGGCTGGAGTGCAGTGGCATGATCTCCGCTCACTGCCACCTCCGCCTCCTGGATTCAAGCGATTATCTTGCCTCAGCCTCCTGAGTAGCTGGGATTACAGGCATGGGCCACCATGTCCAGCTAATTTTTGTATTTTTAGTAGGGACCGGGTTTCACCATGTTGACCAGGATGGTCTCGATCTCTGGACCTCGTGATCTGCCCACCTTGGCCTCCCAAAGTGCTGGGATTGCAGGTGTGAGCCACCGCACCCAGCCAAGCCTGGGAATATTTTCTAAGTTTGAATATTTTTATGCGAAGGGGCATAAATGAAATATTTGAAAACTTTTACTTCATTTTCTGCTGTTTGTCCCCCAATAAATGAGCAAACACTATCTAATGATGACCCCATCTAAGTAAAAAAAATTTTTAATATATTTTTTAAAGATTTACCATCTTTAAGGCATCTTCAATATAGAGACTCTAAGACTCTGACATTCCTAATTATTCATTATTATAAATTATTCAAACTGAATTAGTTTAAACTTTTGTCAAACTCAAACCAGTTTTGTCTGTGTTGAAAAAATCAAATAGTAAATTCTGATATTTATTAATTTTTCAAGTTAATTTTTTAGCCTACAGAAAGAAAAAAAAGAAAACTGATTCTAACTTCCTAAGACAAATTTTTAATAATCTTTTCTCAAACTGGATCTTAATTCCCTTTGTAGAACCAACTTAAATTTCTGCTTTCTCTCAAAAAATATTGATACTCAAGAAGAAAAATAAACTTGTAACGAGGGGATAGTGTTTCCTAATAATGTGGTTTTTTAAATATATATTTTATTTTATTTTTGGAAACAGGGTCTCTCTTTGTTACCCAGGCTGGAGTACAGTGGCATGATCGTGGCCCACTATAGCCGAGACTTCCCAGGCTTAAACAATCTTCCCACCTCCGTCTCCCAAGTAGCTGGGACCACAGGCATGCACCACCATGCCTGGCTAATTTTTTTATATGTTTTTTAGAGACAAGGTGGGTCTCCCTATGTTGCCCAGGCTGTTCTCCAACTCCTGGGCTCAAGTAGTCCTCCCACCTTAGCCTCTCAAAGTCCTGGAATTGCAGACATGAGTCACTGTACCCTCTCCCTAATGATGTGTTGAAGTTGATTTTTAAATCAGAACCTGCATACTTTATAATTTCTTAAACTTCTTTTGGAGAAGAATATTAATTCTAAAAAGTACCTTTAAAAGCACACACACATTACTAAAATAAAATATGGAAGATGAAGAATGAGATACACAAATATCCTTTCTTATTTCCACTCTCTATAGAAAATATATTTCTCCTTGGCTTTCATTTAAAAAAATCAGCAACTGTGTAGAAAACTAATATGGATTTTAACAGCTAACTGGATACCCATCACATGTGGTTCAGCCATGGTCTCTGATGTAGAAATAATTATACTCTAGAGAGATACATGACAGAGAGCAGGCCAGAAATTCTGGCCCTACTGCTCACTTCTCTGCTGATTTTTCTTTCTGTCAGTCCAAGATAAAATGTCAAGCATCTTTGTAGAGCCAGCAATGTGTAAAATGTTTGGAATATCCTTCCTGAGATTTAAAAAAGAATTTTTTTTTTTTTTTTGGTTATCAGTGTCATTTAAAAATATTCTTGCCTAATAAGATCCTCTTTTCTTAAAGAAAAAATAATATTGTCTATAGAAAACTTTACCACTTGGCCCTAGATTTTTCAGTTAAGCTCAGATATTTAATTCTAGGGGTGTGTGTGTGTGTGTGTGTGTGCGTGTGTGTGTATGTGTGTTTAAAAGAAATCCTATCTTAAGGTAAATTGCCTGAGTTCTGATTTCAGCTCTGCTCTGTGACCACTTCTCCATGCCTCAAAATTTCTTCATCTTGTAAAGTGGACACAATGGTTACCAATTCCATAGATGCTGTGTAAGGGTTAAATTACCTAATACCGGAAAGCACTTAAAAAGAGTACCTGCCGTATACCCAAGTATATCTGAGCATTTACTATGCACACCCCATGCTTCGCTACACATTTATTATTCCTTGAATCATCACAACAATACTATCTTTTAGATTAGAAAATTAAGGATCAGAGAGATGAAAAAGTTGGCCTAAATGTATCCTATTTGTAAGTGATAGTTCTTGAGCAAGGTAGGATCTGAATCTCAGAATGCTTAACTCCAAAGCCAGCCATTTGCCTACTTTTCAAACAAATTCCCATATAGTTCCAAACTTAAAACATTCTTTGAAGATTCACCCTTGGGCTAGGTCTTGAGACTTCATCCAGAATGTCTTTAAATAGATTTAGAGGAACTTCAGATGATTGCTGTTATGTTTAAGTCCAGAGAACTGGAGTCATTTTTTAAAACATATTTTCTAGGGCCAGGCGCAGTGGCTCACGCCTGTAATCCCAGCACTTTGGGAGGCTGAAGCAGGTGAATCACCTGAAGTCAGGTGTTCGAGACCAGGCAGGCCAACATGGTGAAGCCCCCGTCTCTATTAAAAATACAAAAATTAGCCAGGCATGCTGGCGGGTGCCTGTAATCCCAGCTACTCAGGAAGCTGAAGCAGGAGAATTGCTTGAACCTGGGAGCTGGAGGTTGCAATGAGCCAAGATCATGCCACCACACTCCAGCCTGGCAACAGAACAAGACTCTGTCTCAAAAAAAGAAAAAAATACGTATATTTTCTTCAAGCAACAACAACAACAAAAAATTGGGACATCCAGAATACTCTCCAATAGTTCAAAGCTCTACACCTAACTGATAGTTCACTAGACGGGGAAGATCAAGGCACATGTAAGCTCCCTGAGCTGCAGTAGACAAGAGTAGAATCTCCCTAGATTGGGTCAAGATTGAATTGAATGAGTACCTTTTCCTTTCTTTGACTTCTTTGTCTACCAAAATTCATCATCAAAACAGAATTTTGCAAACTTCTTAGGGGTGAATGATCCAATATTGACCTAAGCCGTCACTGAATAAGTAATAAAAAAGAGCACACAAATTTGGAGATTTAGCAATTAAATGTCACAAAATTTATTTTGGGACTTGTGCTCTGACCCAAAGTGGGTGTGGAAGACAATTTTCCATGCAATTTGTACCAAAGAGATGATTTGATTCATCTGAGCAGTTTGGCATCCTCCCAGTAAATGTAGAGGCCAAAGGCGCCCAGGATGATTACTCAGTCCGACTTCACATTACCCACTTCAGGCCTAGAGTAATTTTAAGAGACAGCAAACTTAGTTATATTCTCTAGTGATCTATATAAGTCAGTAACTTGATTTCAAGTTATTTTACAGCATCCTGTTAACCAAATTCCTTTTTTTTTTAATGACTGGTTGTGATTTTTAGCTCCTAAACCAATTTAAACAATGATCCATGAATGAGATAATGAATTTGAAGATCTAAATGTCCTGTAAATAGAAGGTATTCTAACGAGCATTGTTATTACTGTTACTATTTTTAGCTGCTACTAGATTTGGTCTCTATTATTACTTTTCCCAAGAAATAATAAAGAAGTACCTCCACCATTATTTCTTTTTAGGAGCACATTTACAAACTGATGAAAAGTGATTCATACCCACGTTTTATAAGATCCAGTGCCTATCAGGAGCTTCTACAGGCAAAGAAAAAGGTATTGTTTTTTTGTGAGTTGTTTTCTCTTGAGCTAGTTCTCAGCTATAATTATTTGGAGTAATTACCTCTGCTGAATCCAGAGTGTTGGACTAATGGTAAGTAAACATACTCCAAGACCCTCCCCCAAACCTTTGCATTTTATAAGGGCCGTTTAAGTTGTTTTTGTTTGTTTATTGTTTGTTTAATTTTTGTTTGTTTATTGTATTACTTTCTGTTTGTTTGTTTCTGCAGATGTTCATGCTTTGCAAAATTTATTAGAAGTTGTTTTCATGTTTCATGTTAGTCTTCTGTATGCCTAGTTTCATGGGATCAAAATTGCAATAAAGAAAAGAAAGTAACAATGTCATTAGGTTGAAAACTTGGAGAGGGGTTTCTTTGTTTAGTAAGCTAGAAGGTATTGAACCAGACCTCATAACTGAAAGTAGCCTCACCTTTTTCAATAATAGATGACAAAATATAGGAATGTTTGCTTCTGAATATTTTCATTTGGCATTTATCCTGAATCACTTAATATCCCTGAGATGAATTTTATACACCTCGAATGGTAGCCAAGCAGGTTATAGGAGCATTGTAGAAGGCCTCATTATTAAATAACATTAATAATCAATGTCTCTCTTGTTCATAACTCCTTATGTAATCAATATAACAGGGAAGAGAAAATCTGGACATCAAAATCAACATCATTATTTTTTATCTTAAAATAGTTCATACCTTCTTGAAATTCTGAGTCTAAATTGTAATTTTGTGTAATTCATGATTATCATGTAGGCTAATAGGATTTTTAAAAGTCCATTGCCTTTACAACTGGAAATGGATGCTTTGTAGTAACTCTATCCACTACAGCAGTCACTAGCCATATGAGACTGCTTACATCTTAGTTAATTAAAATTATATAAAGTTCTAGCCAAATTTCAAGTGCTCAATAACCACAGCTAGAGGCTTCTGTATTGGACAGCATAGAATGAAATTTCCATCCTTTTGGAAAGTTCTATTAGACATTAATGCTCTATAGAATTAATTATGTTATCAACAGAAATTTTTTTCTGATAAAAGTTTTGAGGATACTCTGAGGATAAGCTGCCAGACTTTTAAGTATTTAGGCTTTGAAAATGTCACTATAAAGGCTTCACATATCTACTTCATTTCGGCTTAATTTGATTTTGCTTGAATCACTCCATTTCGTTTGTACAAGGAAAGTTTTTGGTGTTAGCACTAATGAAAGCAGAGCCCCATGTCCTTTGAGAAGAAGCCTCCTTCGGCGGCTCTCCTACCTCCGTGGGCCCTCTGATTTAGAACATGGATTTGGTGTTGCATCATTTCATTATCCTGTCTTTTTCTGCTCTATTTTCCTTGCTTTCTCTTTTTGTTTTCAACCTCCCCTTATTTCCCTTCACCCTATCCTACCCCACACACGTTAAGTCTGGAAACTCTATGGATCGCAGAACATCTTTTGAAAAATTTGCACAGAATATGGTAAGTTTTATTTTTTTGAGGAATTATGAATCATTAAGTCCAATGAAATTTTTCCTATTTCCCTATTTCTAGCCCTGATGCCCACCTTGATTTCTTGATAACAGCAAAAGTGTTTCTTTTATTCAAATTCAGAACTTCCTGTTTCCTACTTAACTTTCTGTCCCATCCCTTTCCAGAGTAGAAAAAGATGTTCTGAGAACAAGTATCTGTACAGAACTAAAGTTTGGAAGGAAGTTGATATTACGATATATAAGAGGAAGGAATAATAATTATTCTTTATATTTTTATTTTTATTCCTTATATTCCTTTCTTTATTAAAAATAGTGCATGCATTTCTATGCTCTTTTTCTTAGCCCTTCCTGAGACTTAAAAGATTAAGAACAGTGAGAGTTGTATGCTTTTTACTTCTGCAGAGAAAAAATGATCTACTGAGCAGTTTAAAGTTAAAGATTTTATATGAGTGGTGGTTGGTGACAAGATATGCCCCACCAAAGACCCACCAGCCTGCCTTTCTTATTCCTTATTTTTCAGGAAGGTGCTGAAAACTGTTGCATAAATCATCCGAGAAAACAGTAATTTTCTCTACCAGTGTTTTCTCAGTATCTTGCCATGTGTTTTGATGATATATATTTGTTTGTAAGATTCTTTTTTTTTTTGTATTGTGCCAGTACCTTTGGAACTTTCTGACATTGTGTAAGCTCAAACTAAAGCCTTCAACACATTTATTTTTATAGGGCAGAAACATCCCTATTTTCCCATGCCATAAAAACTGTACACCAACACTGAGGGCCAGCACTAACCTGTTATGAAAAGAGGTAGAAAATCTTGGTTTATACTCAAGTTTGTCTGCATTGTCTGTTGAGCTGTGTGGTTAGCTCCATGCTGCTGTATGTGTGTGTTGTGGCTTTTGCTGTGATGACCAGTTCAGTGGAGTTATGTGTGTGGAAATGTGAGCCAACTGGATTCAACAAAGATACGGCTTTTGTGTTCAGTTTCCTTCAAGGATCCTTGTGGTGGGAATGTTATTCAGTTCTACTTGTGAATTATCATTGCAACGGTACACAGAGTATTTGAAAGAATTTGAAAGAACAGTATATGTTCCTTGAACAGTATCTATTCCTGTGAACATTCAGTGTGATTGCATCAATTAAAGGGACAGAGAATGACAGACTCCAGGAATTAATCACATTGTATACAGAATTTTGGCACTATTGGAACCTCTGTCCTTTAATATAGAATTGTCTGAAGCATGCCTCATAAGCCACCATGGGGTAATAAGGACAATGTCAAAAAATTCTCCAAGATTTTGCTGGAGAAAGTGACTATCAGATATTGTAAGGTACTCTGTGTATTGTTTAAAAAGCATTTCAAATTAATCCTTTTCAAACATAATGCTGACAGAATGTATGGTCTCGAAATTCTAATGGAAATTTCTGTGATATAATTTAAAATAGTGATGCAAGCTGGGGAAGAGGGAAAGGGGAAGTCAAATGGTTGTCTTTCTCCCAACGTCATATCTGACCCACTTGTCAGACTCTTAAAATAGCACCATATGCTCTCACACTGCAAACTTTAAGAAACAACCAATAAGAAATAAAGGGAAGGGAGGACTGCTCATCCACACCTGCAATCAAAATTCCCACAAATGCCACCTCTATTCTAAACCGTGGGCTATGTCTTGGGACCATGTAGAAAGCATAGACTGGCAGCCATGTCCAACCCTTTGAATGCAAGGACTTTTTTGCTTATCTGTGGTGGTGGATATTATAAAAATTATGCACAGACCTTTTTTTAAGATTATCAGCTATCATTAGTGTCAGTATATGTTATGTGTGGTCCAAGACAATTATTCTTGCAGTGTGGCCTAGGAAAGCCCGAAGGTTGGACATCCACGGTAGAGCTTGATTGCAACGGTACCCAGTGGTATAAACAAAATGTTAGGATGTACAAGGGAAAGATAAACAATGTCTATTGGGTGCTAGGGTGATGAGGGAGGGCCCATATGTAATCTGAGAATTCCCGGAAGTAATATTTAACTGGATTTGTAGAATTTCAATAGACCAAGAAGAGCAACCACCTTCTTAAAGAGAGGTTAAAAAAAAATGGAATTATTGAAGGAAAACAAGTACCTTCCATACACACACACACAAACACACACACACACACACACACACACACACACACACGCAAACCAGAATAATAATTTTCAGATTTTCAGACACTGTTGTTTAGTGTGAATCCTTTTCCATCCAGAAAAATAAAACGTGATCTTTGTTATTTAGTACTTTTATTTGGGTGTTATTCTGAATAGATGGAGTAAGGAAATGAGAAAGGGTCTCTGACTTTCACCTTGGTTTAGTGTTCCATATTTTATACCTTAAGGACCAGCAGCTGTATCAAACATCTTAGGTCTTTACATCCTAAATTTTATGAGGCATCTTTATAGGTTCAATAAAATGATTTAACATAAGATAAAGAATGAGTGATTTTTGTCATAATCAGATAGACTTAATGGAGTAAAGACGGAATTTATGTAAAGATTTTAAAGGAATCTTCTACACAGGTTACTCTGGTACATACAGGGAGGCAACGTGGACAGCGGTATCCAAGAAAGAAATAGAAGTTCTTACATTTCCTAAACAAGTATGTAGTCTAGGAAAATAAGGGGGGAGATGAGTCAACAACTCACATTCATTGAGTATCTGCCATGTACCAGGCTCTGCACTGGGCACTGACAGTATTATCTGATTTAATCCATGTGCTGACTCTGTAAGGTAGGTATTATTAGACCCATTGTTTTACCCATTTTATAGGTAAGAAATTTGAAAAGTCAGAGGAGGTGCATAATTTTTTTAGAGTCACATAGTTAGTGAAGCAGCTGGGACTGACTCCAAACGTATTTTGTTCCCTGATGCTATTTCCACGGATCCACCCTGCTCTTTGACATTCTCCCAACTGACAAAAAAATAAATAAATCTTGTCACCTGATGATACCCTCCTCCCCAGTCTGAATCCATTTCCAATTCGTGCCTATTTTAGTAAGTTGATTTACATGTTCCAGACTAGGGTTTTTCTAACCGAGGTTAGAAAAATGGCATTGTTGTTTTTGTTTCACCCCAGAGACAAAAATATTTTGCTAGTCAGCCATTCCAGGGAGCTTTTGTTAGTTACCCAGACTCATAAACACTTACTGGCACTTTAGAGAAAAATTATAATAAACATCTGAGGATTGCATTGCACTTTCACTCTTCCAGAAAATACGGCTTCCTTGTGGTTTGTTTTATTGTTGTTTTGGTCATCGTTCACGTGCACAACAATCCCGGGAGGTAGTCAGGCAGGCGTCCCCTCCTTTTCACAGACAGACAGACAGGGAAATGGTGAGGTGAGCTCGCCTTTGCCGTTTCTCAGCTGTTGAGTGTTACAGCCGGAACTGGAAGCAAGCTTTCTTTTTTTTTACTTTAAATCCTTTACTCTTTATGGATTACTCTCATTCCTTTCAGTAATCCTAAAATGGGTAGGATACAA